CTTTTTCACTTCACAATTATGCCCATTAATAGTGTGGTATTTCTGAACAACAATTTTATCAACAGTATCATGATCATCAAAAGTTACAAAAGCAAATCCTCTCTTTTTTCCACTCTGCCTGTCTTCCATAACTTCTATGGTTTCAATCTTGCCATACTTTTCAAAGTAGTCTCTCAAATTATATTCTTCTGTATCTTCTTTAATACCACCAACAAAAATTTTCTTCACTGTAAGATGGGCACCAGGCTTTACAGAATCCTCTCTTGAAACAGCTCTCTTTGGTTCCACAACACGCCCATCAACCTTGTGTGGTAGAGCACACATTGCTGCATCCACCTCTTCCACACAAGAGTAAGTCACAAAACCAAAGCCCCTGGAACGTTTTGTTTGGGGATCTCTCATTACCACACAATCTGTGAGTGTGCCCCATTTCTCAAAATGTTCTCTTAAACTATCATCTGTAGTTTCAAAGCTCAGACCACCAATAAACAGTTTTCTCAACTGCTCTGGTTCCTTTGGATCATGGCCCTCCTCCCCCCGGCGGCGGCGGCGACGGCCGGAGTCGGGCTGGGGGCGACCGGGCAGCGGTTTTACCTCCATTTTGAGACCGGACTCGCCTCTTCCAACTCGAGTTCAATATCGCTTATAGCTTTTGATACCTACAAAATGAAAACACATTTATAAATTGTAACCAAGCAAAATTACTCCTATTGTGTTAACTGGTCCCAGCTATACAGCACCTTCCATAAGCTCAGAGGCACCTGACAGAGAGCTGCATGGGGTGAGGGAGGCTGTTGTCTCAGCTCTTCCTGAGAAGGTTTCCCCTGAGAAAGCAAAGCGTTGGGAAGCCGTTCCTGGGAGGCAAAGATTCAGGCTGGGGCCTGTGAGAGTCAGAGCAAAGGGCGGAAAGGGAAATGTGGAGGCAACCACACAGGGGCAACTCTCAGAAAAGGGGATTCCGCAGCCACAGAGGGGCATAAAGGCCGGAGCGGATCCAGGACGCGCGTGGATAGAGTGCACAGAAGAACGCTCCTGGGAACTCTTATTCTGAGTCCTCGCTCCCTTCACTGTCTGCTAAACAGCTGCCATTCACCCTCCCAGCAACCCGGTGAAATAGGTGCTGTCACCAATCACAGGTCAGGAGACGAGCATTAGGGACGGTCCATGACTCCCTACCAAGTCACAGATACTGATGAGTGGAGCACCTGAACCCAAGTCCGGGTTTGCCTGACCCCAGAGTCCAGGCCTGTGACCAACATGCAAGGTGCCTTTCCACTGGCTCCTGGACCCAGGCACTTGTTTTCTTTCATTTCTAAATGACAGCTGGGGATGTTCCTAGGAAGGTAAACTGCCCCAGTTGCTCAGGACAGGACCCCAACCCCACAGCACCCACAAGGACAATGTGGGGGAGGGAGCAGAGGCATCCTGGGCAAGTCACGTTGTAGGGACTGAACTCCAGAAGGACCCCCAGCTGTTCCCTCACAACATTTGGTCTCAACCCCAAATTGCTCCTAAGCCTGTGTGTGCTTCCAGCCTTGCGTTAGTGGTGGGTTGACCTGGGATTTTTGAACTGCCCCACAGGTTGTTGCGGCTCCTACATACGATCAGGAGATGCTGAGTGTGGAAAAGAAGTCTGGGAGCCGGTGGCAGGGTGTTTACTGGAGCTATTCACAGAGGAAAGATAGAGCTCCTTCCAATCTGCACGTTTGCAGTCAAGATTGAGTTGGTGTGCTGGGCATGGTGGCTCATGCCTGTAATCCCAGCACTCTGGGAGGCCAAGGCAGGTAGATTGCCTGAGCTCAGGAGTTAGAGACCAACCTGAGCAAGAGTGGGACCTCACCTCTAAAATTAGCCGGGTGCTGTGGCAGGCGCCTGTAGTCCCCACTACTTGGGAGGCTGAGGCAAGAGAATCGCTTGAGCCCAAGAGTTTGAGGTTGCTGGTAGCTGTGGCTCCAGAGCACTCTACTGAGGGCAAAAAAGTGAAACTCTGTCTCTAAAAAAAAAAAAAGATGAGTTTGGTGATGAGTTGATAACAAGCATGTACACGTCTCTCAGGAGCACATATGTAGAACCTCCTGGCTGTCTAACACAACCCACAGATTCCAGAGGAACAGAAGGTCCCTGTTCCTCTCTCCCATGTTGATGACACAGCAGGACAAGAAGATTTAAGTTTACAGAGCAAAATAAACAACTCAGGATAAACAACTCTCTACAAAGAATCACAGAGGGAAAAAAAAACAACTCAGTTTCAAAATGGCACCAGCCACCCCCCAAAGCTGCTGTGCCCACAGATAAGGCTGATTACAGATGACACCCAGGAACTGGGCAGAGGATGCTCACTCCTCACCCCCACCTCAATTCTGATTTTCCTTTAGAGCAGCAGTCCCCAACTATTTTGGCACTAAAGACCAGTTCCATGGAAGACAATTTTTCCAAGACAACGGAGCTGGGATGGGATAGAGACACAGCTCAGCTGGTACTGCTGTGCCGCTGGGCTCCCAGCAGGCCAAGGACCTGCACCAGGCCACGGCTGGGGTTGGGGACCACAGCAGCCTTAGATTCACCAAGCTAAACTGGGAGGTGCAAATCTGATTTGACATTTATTTCCTCCAGGTTCTTCAGTTCACAGAGACCCAGAATGGGATCACTAGGGTGTTTGGCCTACTGTCCCGTATGCTAGGAGCCTCTGGGATTAAGAGATCAACAGACATTGTCCTCAAGGGTAGGAGTTCAGTATTGGTAGGGCTAAGTCCCTGAGTCCTTGTCACCCAGGGCAGTGTCTGGCACATGGCAGTTGTTCCATAAATGTTGGCTGTGAATCAGTCAGCGGTATTCCAGGGACTTGAAAAGCCTGGTGAGAGTGGCTTGGTGGCCAAGTGATGGGTGGAGAGTGGAGAAAAGCGTGGTAGCAACTGCTGGGAGATTTTGATGCCCTACAAGATGCTGGGCAAATAAATATAGATTCAAATCAGAATGCTGGGGCTCCAACAGAGACCACACGCCACCCTTGCTGCCTAAACAGATGCCACCCCACCATCTGATTTCATCAGGAAAGCAGGATGGAGAAATGGTATTTTGCTTGTGGCTGTTTTTAGAAAAAGAGAAAGAATAGAGTCATTCCTGTCTGTCACTGCTGCTTGTTTAATTTAAACAAGCAAGATTCAGGCATGAGCACACTATCAATGTAAAAAAAGCAACGTGAACTGCTTTGGTAAGAACTGTTCTGTGTTCTTTGGAAAAGGTAGTTTGGATGACACTCAGAATTGGTTCACATCATTATTACTGGTTTGGGACATTTTGTCATTTATTTGAGTTTGCTTACCTTTTCTTGGTGGTGGGCAGAGTCTGACTCTGTTTTCCAGGCCATAGTGCCATGCTGTCATAGTTCACAGCAACCTCAGACTCCTGGGCTCAAACCATCCTGCCTCAGCCTCCTGAGTAGCTAGGACTATAGGCACCCATAACAATGCCTGGCTAATTTTTCTATTTTTAGTAGAGACGGGGGTCTTGCTTTTGCTCAGGCTGCTCCCTGAGCTCAAGGGATCCACCTGCATTGGCCTCCCAGAGTGCTGGGACTATGGGCGTGAGCCACTGCACCTGGCCCACTTATCTTATTTTTGTCCTCAAGAAAGTACCAAGAAATCTACTACTAGTCAAAAATTTAGAAAATAAATATCTTGTTTTTACTGAAAAAGAATTTTAACATAAAATAAGATGTGACAAGATATCTTTTCTTTTTTACATGCATAACAAATTTGGCTTTGTTGCTTACTCATAGATTTCATGTTCAAAGAGAAAGCAGCGGCCACCAGGGAGCTGCTCACGTGAAAAGCACACTTATTATGTTAACTCAATTAGATGCACATGAGAGTCTGTTCTCTACGTGGGAGAAGCTGAATAAGAGCATACAAAATCGATGTTGTTTTGAGGTCCGGAGCAGTGTCCTGGGTTTTAAAATACCTCACAGGAAAATAATGAACAGCCCAGAGCTCACAAGTTAGGATAAACAAAAAGATTTGCACTTTCAATATGGTGATGTAACCAGATTTTAGTAGCAACCACAGAAATAATTACCAATTTAAGATGTTCATGACATACAGAACAAGGAAGCCCTGTGCTTCTTGAGTTGATTGGCACGGGCTCACGATACCGAGAGGTGGTGATTTCAAATCATCATCAATTTTTTTTTCTAATTTGTTTTCCCTTGGAATTTATTGGAAACATCTGTATACCTACATTTATATTATTAAAGGCAAATAGTAAATTGATTTGGGGAGCTATAATAAAGACTCATCCTTTGCATGTATGTTTGGATATGTATTTGTATAATATTTCATGCATATACAATACAACCTCTGTAAGTTGACCACCCAAGGGACTGTGACAAATATTATTAAGTATAATTAATATTATACAAATATTTGTAAATATTATACAAATACACACTCAAACACACATGCAAAGGATGCAAAGACGCCCACAGGGCCGGTCGTACAAATTCTTGTGACATGGGTTCAGGAGGCCTGGTCACGTAAGGAGCCAGGGCCCCTGTACTAATAACCATAGGTGGTGCGGGTCTGCTCTGTGAACATTAGGTCAGTTTGAGGAGGTGGTCAGCTACAGAAGCTCTCCTGTATATACACACTATTACACTCACACACATATACACACGTCTGCTCTTTTCTTATCCTACCTCTCTCTGAATACACAAATTGTCCTAGGGAGTCTCAGTACTGGGATGAGATGCACGTGAAATCCAACAGTCACAATTTTTCTCAAGTTTTGTTGTCTTTTCTCTCCCTAGGAAGTTTCTACGGGGATTAGATATGCAACCCAGAATAATAAGAAACTGCTTAGAGATTTCTATGAAATAATAAGAAATTGTCAGAAGTAAATGGCTACAATGAAACTGCTCTGCTTTTGAGCCTGACTTTCTGGATAGCTTCCTCAGTGAACATAGAGAGCTGCATTAATGCATTGCCTTGCGACTTCTTCACAAGTTAAAACCCCTCTTTTCTCTTCCCTCTGGCAGATCTGAAACTTGTATGGCATCTAAATCGCTTCTGACTGGCATCTAAATCGCTTCTGACTATCCTGAGGCAGCTCTGCCCAGGGCCACGACTAGACGGAAGTGATCACCCTTCACCTACATGGAGATAGCCATTCTCAAGTGGGCTGATTTGGCAGAGATAATGATGCTGTGAGTTGAATCGTGCCCCCCACAGATACATGTTGAAGTCTTAACTTCCAGCACCTGTAACTGTGACCGAGTGTAGAAACAGGGTGAACTAGAGTGGCGTGGGTCTTGTCCAGGATGACTGATGTCCTTACAAAGAAAGAGACACAGACACACAGGGGTGACCGTTCACAGGACCTCTGGGGCCACTCTCTGCCTCTAGTACCGTGGGCAATACTTTTCTGTTGTTTTAGCCACCTAGTTTGTATTACTGGCTATATGCCCCCCCCAAAGTCAACACAGCAATCTTGGTGATAATGTGATAGTAGCAGCAGCGTCCCCTTTACTGGGTGTCCTCTGAATGCCAGTGACAGTCTCAAGTGCTCTGTGTCATTAGCTGATTGGCTCTATGGTCTCATTTTACAGATGAAGAAGCAGAGACAGCAAAGGAAAGATTGGTTGACA